TGACACATAGACCATTGAATAAAAAAACTGAGCCAAATAATTTATGTCCAGAAAATAGACTATGTAACAAAAAAAAAAAAAGTTTGGCATGTAAAGGCATACAACTACTGATAGATGCTGAAAACTGTGAAAATTCATATTCCTGGAGCCATAGAAAATTACAGTACATATTGTATCTGAGCTAGGAATTCCAAATAGAATTTCACACTATATATTGTCTTAAAATATTTGAAACTTGTCCTGTATATTGTGCCATGTGTTTACCTAAACTGAGAATATTAAAAGTTTGAGTAAAACTATCTACTGTACTGATGAGATTAGTGTTAGTCCACTTGTTAACTTCTATACTTACTTGAAGGGATACAAGGAGAAAATGTTTCCTTACATTTCTGTGAATGGGGAAGAGAATTTTAAATGGTAAACTGGGACTTGCTTAATGTATGGACTTGAAAAGAATTATTTGGGACATGATGTTGAAGAAAGAGTTACACCTATGGTGCAAAGTGTGGAGGTGAAATTAATTTATGCAAAACATCAGAAGACAAAACATAGGAAATTATAGAATACTTACTGGTGGTTTGGAAAAAAAAAAACAACAGGACTGGGAAAATAATTATGAGGACAAGTACAACTTGCTCCAATAGCAAGTGATTATGGTGTGACTAATGCTCTCACTCATGTTTCCAGTACAGTGTGTTAGAATATGCTAATAGAATACAGCTTGAACTGGTGTGAATGAAACAGCAACCTGCTGTTTGTCTAGAATCCCAGTATAGGACACCTGACAGAGCCCTTAGTCTTGGATAGTAAAATTTTAAAAACCCAGGAAATTAAAGGAACTTGGTGAGCATTCAGATATAATTACATGTTACCTGTAATTAGGACTTCAAATTACATATATTTATCTAATAACCACTGCAAGAATAGAACTATGATACATTTTTAATTTCCTCTCCTGTACATTTTTGTTATTCTGCATATTTTCAAGATGAAAGAAAGGATAAATAGAAATATTGAACACATAAATTCCAGAACAGGGAAATCCAGTGAAAACCTACACAAGAAAAGTGTTGCAGTCTCTGTCATATCTGACAAGTAACCTTGTAATGTCAGAATTGGCTCATTTTTCAACATGCCAGTCAAATATGCAAGTTTGAAATAGCAACAATCACATCTTGTACAGTGGATGTCATGTAGTACAAAACAATAAATATAATGCGTTTCTTGCATTTTCATGTCTTAACATCAGAAAACCTTAAAATAATCTTAGTCTTATTTTCTGTGTAGTGATTGCAGATAATTTCTGTCCTTCAGGTTATATTGTCAATACACATCTCTACCTCAGTGTGCAAACATATGGAGAAAGTAAACTAGACGAACCATTAAATGAAATACATGTGATAATTTTAAAAACAAATTTGTGTCTAGTTTGTATATTTGAGTTTTGTAGTGTGACTGAAAATCTGGCATCCTGGATGCAGTTGCTGCTTTGGAATATATGGTTCATAGGAATATAAATACTGGTCCATGCCTGTTAGTCATCAGTAATGGATGAGTAGGGAAACAATATAAAAGACAAGGTAAATGCGGACTGGTTTGGGGTTTTTTAACTCATGCTATTTTCTTTGCTGCTTGTAGAACATAGTTTAGGTTTTCTGGAGAACAAGGTTGTAAAAGATAGGTCATTATACTTAATAGAATCTAATTGAGTTCTATATTGGGCTTCTGTTTAATCTTTTGAGCCCACTTCTGCTTTCAGCCTCCATATTCTCTAGCAACATGTTTCACAACTTAGTTTTGTGTTTGTAGAGCAAGGAAAAAAATTATAAAATTAAATTTTTGGTATTAGATATATTTCCTAATTCCTGTGTTTGTGAGACAGGAGAGAATAGCTATCTCCTTTCCAAAATTTGCATATCTTTTATCAGTCTCTTAGATCTTTGCATCTGTTTGTCACTTTTCTCTCATACTCTCACTGAAGGCTGGAGTTTTAGCCAATTGCATACAAAAATTATGCTTTTCAAGCTAACTTTTGTTACTCTGAGATAACTTTTTTCTACTGCTGCAAGTTTTCAGAATTGTGAGGGTGTGGCAGAATAATGCCGCGACATGGTAATGTTTCTGTTTCCTATTTCATTCTTAATAATTTTTGAATTCTAATTCTGCTCTTGAGCTAGGGAGGTATATATTTATGGGATATTTGAAGTGTTTTTTTAATGATGCAGGAGAAGGCTGTTAATTGACACCATGGCTATGGTACATAACCATCAGCTTTCAAGACAACATTATTGAGGAAAAGTAGCTGAATTTAATTTTGAAACAGTTAAAATGGGACTTCAAATTAAAAAAATCAAGATGCGATTTCCTCCTATTCTGCCTCTCTCTAATGTATACTAAAAGAATAGTAAAAGATGTACCCAATGTATGTAATCTCTTTGAAAGGTTCATGTTGCTGAGGGGTAGCTTTTATTTGTGTTCACAAGTTGATTACAGTGACATAGATAACTTCATTTTGTGTGGAGGAGGCTGGGGAAAGCTGGTACATGAGTTAGAGAGGTGCACTGAGCATCAGATCAGAATTTCCTGTACATCTCCAGAGTGACTCAGTGCTTTAGCTCTGGTTCTGAAGAAGGGAGTTTTTGGTACTTTGCTCCTGTGTTGTATGTTCAGGATTTGACTAAAGGAAAAGATGGAATTTAGTTCTTTCAGTAATTGCAACTGTGTAGTGTAGATTTCTTTTTAATAAAATCTTTTTAGTAACTGAATGTTTGTGCAAGGGATATCTGCTGCACTCAAGAGTTCTGCAAAAGTATGTGCTTCCTTAGGACAGTGTGAGGTTTTGTCCGTAAGTGTGAGGGGTTTTTTTGTGTTAATGGAATTTCTGATGTCCTATTTCTAGCGTCCTCACCTTGGATTGGATCTATTGCCCACAGTACAAGTATTAAGTGTTGTGTGCATAATGCCTTCTTTGCTCCAAGATAAGCACCTTTCTTTTTTTTTTCTTTTTTTTTCTTTTTTTTTTGGTGGTGAATTGAAATCTGCAGAGGGATTGAAACAAAGACAGTTCTGCTCAAAAGCAGGGAGCTAATCTATAGGGATGTTGTTTATAGAGTATTGGTTAAAGGTAATCTGTTGTCTAGTCAGAGAGTTACAGACCCTCTGTCAAATGGGATGATCCTGGGTTGTCAGGGGAGAACAGCAACTACACAGATAGTATGGGGGAGTTGGGATACACACCTCCTCACTGTTAGCCAGGGAAAATTAGAGGCACAGGGTGTGCTCAGGAGGTAGCTAGGCAAACTGCAAAGCTGTTTGGGTTTTCTAGTTACCTTTTCCACATTACAGATATGTCAGTGCAGTGATGCATACCACACAGAAAAATAGAAATTAAGTTTGTGTCCAGTAGACCTCAAAATTTAAAATACCTAAAAAGAAGTCTTGCAGCAAGAATTCTGGTTTCATTGTTTCATTTAAAATTAAAATAAAGCCAGAGAAGTAAACTGTATACTAACAACAACAAAGTAAAACATGAAGGGAATTTGTCTGGTTGGAAAAACAAATTTTTATTTCATTGTTAAAGCTGAAAAGAAAATTTGGCTTTATGTCATTTATTCAGTTCCTCTGTCTGGACTTGCCAGTATTTTAGAAGATGTATTTCTCAAGTCTTGAAAAATAACTTGAAAATTGGCTGAATGTTGTCACTGCCCTGTCAGGAGAGTGCTGTTTTGCTCAACTTTATAAATTATGATAATTATATATTTGTACATTTCTAGAATTACAGAAATTAAATTGGAATATATGAAATCATTCCAGCTCCGGTTGCTGTAGAGTCCAGGACAGATCCATGGCCCGAACAGGGGAATTTCTTGTCACATCACTTAATGACCCAATTTTCGTCCTATGGAGCCTCCAACACTCTTGTAGGACAATAGTAGGAAAGGGTTCTTTTCCCTATCCAGGAAGCATAAAGGGAAAAAACTATGCCACCTATTAAATGAACTTGGCAAATCATAGAGATATTTATGAACACTGGCAGCAAAAGCACAGTGTCTTATATCTCTATTTATTTTTAGGCAAAAAGGTGTTAAGCTAAGCCTATCTTTTTGTTATATTTTGTTTTTGCGTTGTGGGTTTCTTGGGGGTTTTTTCCCCTGTCTTTGTCATCATTTTAGCTTGTGGTTACACTTCCTCACCAGAATTAGCAAATGTACATTGCTGAGTGCAGCCTTCCTTTTTTCGGATCTTTTTCTTCACCATTTTGGTTTAATCTGAGGATGTTTTTGGTAACGAAAATGTATCTGCCGTGTGTTAATTTGGTGTCTTATGTAAATAAAGACTTTTGTGGAAAATCTTAGCCTAGTGTAAAGAATATTCTTTCTCTCAAGAACAGTGTTGAAGCACTGAAAGAAGTACAGCTGTCTCAAAACACTTTATGGCAAAAAAAATGTTGAGTGTACTGCAGGCTATTTATGGATCAAGCTTGGCTGCATTCCATAGGAGAGATTTTTCCTGTAATTCTGTACTGGCATGTATGAAAATGTTGTCATCCTTTTTGTAAGAAGTCATGAAGGAAAAACAGATTTTTGAGAAATTGTCCTGAAGAAAAGCATTCACTGATTTGTCAACACAGATATGTCTGTTAATTTCTGGATGTTTACAGTAACTGCTTGATGGCACTGCTGGTCAGTTCTATGGCAAATATCTTCTGCTTCTTTACATTCTTATGATGTCTGAACTTTTCAGAAGGGATGCTGAGAGCAAATGTGACTTCAACAAAGAAAGTTACCTAGAGTTCAAATAAAAAAAAGCCTCTTCTGTTGTGGGAAAAGCTGTTTAAAGGAGGCAGTTAATATTTTAATAGTGATCTTATCTAGGAAAATGCAAAGAAGAGACATCAAATTCTAATACAATTTCAAAAATAGTGAAATTGGGGTACTATTTAACTGTAAAATTATGACTAAACACTTTTGTTTTAAATTAGCAACTACTTCTTTTTTCAGGAAATTTGGAGAGCGACCTCAACCGAAACGGCTCACAAGGTAAGCATTAAAGAAACTTGGTATTTAACAATTTTCTGAAGTTACTGTTTTCATTCTCACAAAAATTAAGTTTAAAAATTGTGGGTTGCTAACCCTAGGATTTTAAATGTAAAAGCTTTTCAATTTTATGTGCAATCAGCAGTAAGAAGTACTATTTTCAACAAAGTGGCTTAGTTTTAATATGAAACTCAAAATGCATTTTTAGAAATGGTGTTGACTTCATGTATCAGTTATCGTAGGTTATTCAGTAGGATGTGGATCTGCTTATTTTTAAATCCTCAGGAATGAGCTGATTTGTTTCTTGAGTTAAAAGTCAGGTCATGTAACACTTCTTGCTGCCAGAATTGAACATGCTGCTGTCAAGGAGTTATCTTAGCCAACTTTTGGTGAACCCCAAAAAATCAGAGAGAGTATCAAAGAGAACTATCAAGTCAATCCATTCTGCGAAGTGTTTAGAGTGACTGGAGTACAGTTCTTGATTTGCTCCTGGCTTGCCTGGGATGTATTTACACCAGAAACTGTTAAGTAGTCACCTTTGTTTCAAAGTGCTTTAACATAGACTATGCAAATATTTATTATTCTGTGCCACAAGCTGTGCCGATTATAATTAGCTCCTGGCTTTAAAATCCACTGTTTGCTTGAAAGCAAAAAAGGATGTGCCATTTGTTTTATAGTTTTGTGTGGTGATAGAGGAAGCCCCTTGTGACCTTGACAGCCTCTGTTTTGAATGCAATGATATGCATATTATGGGGAGAAACGTTTACCTTTTGTGTTGTGAATATCTGTCTCACTGCATTTTTGGATAAGTTTTAGGTTAGTTTGTCATCATTAAGCTTCATTTCAATGCAAAATTGATCCGTACAGATTTACAAGTATTTGAACAAACATGGTGGTTTCTTGTTGGCCTGCCAGTCTTCAGGGATACTTGAAGATACTGTATTTTTAGTAACGATGCTTTCCATTTTGAGTAGTAACCCATACCATAACCCTGAAGTTGCTCGTAGAATTTACCTTCCTTCATTAAAAAAAAAACAAACCAAACCAAAATAGAATGTTTAAAAAGAGAACAAAAAAAGAAATTACTCTGCAGTGAGAGCTTTTAACTAAGTTTTCTCTTTACTATAGTTACTCTGAATTTCATGTGCAGGATTTTAGCTGCTAAGTAGCTAAAATACAGAGTTGGTATCTGAGAAGTGCCAGGCATCCTTCAAAGCAGCAGTTTGAAAACCTTTCCTGTTATGGAGATTGGAAACAAACAACCTGACTTTCCTCTGAAGAATAAACTGCTGAAATGGAACAACTGTCACCCAGATTTTTAAGATTGATTTGTTTATGTTGAAAATGTATCTGTAAACCCTTAAAAGCATTAGTTCAATTATTGGAAAATTGCTGTGGGTTTTTTGTTTGCAGGCTGTCTGGTTTGACTAATAATCTGTTCATGATCATGCAGTCTCCAGCAGAACAACACTACTCTGTTCATGCTATGCTAGTTGGTTTTATGTGTAAGCTATAATAATACTACCTTCATGAGGAGTTTTAGGATTGAATAATGAAAAATGTCATGTAAGATATCAATGGGAGGGTGGGAGGGGGATCATCACTTGTCCTTGCAGGAACTTGGATTGTACAAATCCACAATAGAAACAGACTAGCAGAAAACACAAATTTTCTTTCTCATACAGTGCTAAATAAAGATTAGATAGCACCATTCAGTTTACTGTGTGGGTTGCTGGGTTTGAGTAGTTTTTTAATAGTAGTCAAGTCAAAAGTTTTTAATATGACATATGTTCTTAATTTAGTGTGATAGTACTCTTAATAGAATATTTCAATTTGTCAGATTAAAGATTTTAAACAACTTAATGCAGCTAATATACATCATAATGAAATGTATAATAATAATTTCACAGTGAATTATGTTTTGGGGTATAAAATATATTCTTTAAAAATGGCTGTAAATTAGTCTCTGGGCTTTGAAGCAGTTCTTCCAGCTGTACTTTCATGAATAAACATCAGTTATACCAATGTCAAATGTAAATAGATCAAGTTAGTCCAAATTTAAAACAGCAAGTCTATTCTCAGTTCTTATATCCCACTATTTACACAAAAAATCAGCTCACTAATCATTAGACATTAATCATGTCTTATGCAGACATGACAAACACAAGGATTTGCAAAACATCATTAGCAAAGCTAGGTTGTCCAACCCAACCCTGGCTCAATCTACTTGCCTTTCTCTATGAAAATGTGTGGGGATTTCTTTTGGAAAATATCTAGTCAATAAAATAGTGCTTTCTATCTTCTGTCATTTTTTCACTAGAAATGTTTGGTTTTCTACATCTGTCCTATGGGAATTCAATAGTTGGTTCAGTTCACAGAAAAAAGACAAAAATCCAAACAACCAAACGAAAAATCCTTCTTATGTAGGGTTTTATCTTTTCACATAAATTCCTGAGAAATTCATAATTGATTTCTCTGGTAGATGACTTTGAAGATGAGTGCATTGGTGGGTATTCAACCCACAAAAGCTCCTTCAGGAACTGATGTTCCTGCCAGCACTCAGGCACAGCTGATCCCTAGGGTGTTGAATTTGGCATGCTGCTTAATGAACAGTTAGATTATTATACAGAAGAGTGACTGGCTGTTATTGTTCTCTCGCTTCTCTCAAGGAATTGTTCTTGGTGTGTTTGAGGTAATTACAGCATTTATGTAACATCTGTAATTACAGTGATGATGAACAATAATTTTTTTTTAATTAATTCTTTTTACCTGACTGTATGCAGGAAGTAGATCTTTTCTCTAGAAAACTAGGTGAAACAATATTAATTTTTTCTTAGTATCTTCAAAAAACAGAAGAAAACTTGTATATGAACATTGCACTGATTTGGTTAAAAGCTTAAACAATTTGTCATTATCATGAGATACTAAACTGGTCATGAAGAAAATATATACTGTATATATATATAACTAATATATATACTGTATATATAATGTGTTCTAATTTGTGGCATGGTGCTTAATGAAATAGGACTTTAAACATGGTATAATTATTGGCATTGATATGATTTTATATCATAACTTTTTTTTGCTGCTAGAAAATATAGTAATTGTAAATTATCACAGACCCCATATTGCTAGTTTTGTGCAGGATAGTTTTTCCTCTGTTATTGTCTTAGACGGTGAGCAAATGTATCTTAACCTTGTTAACAATGGCCTTTTTGGAATTGCAGATCCTGTGATTTTTTTTTTCCCTAAAGCTGTCTTTGTTTTGTTGTAAACAAAACCAAAAGAATTTGCAAAGCTTATATTGTGTTTTGATTTTTAGGGAAGCAATGCGAAATTACCTGAAGGAGCGAGGTGACCAAACAGTGCTAATACTCCACGCGAAAGTTGCGCAGAAATCATACGGAAATGAAAAAAGGTAACTTTTAATGCTGTACTGAAGTCCCTCTACAGCTGGGAGCTAAGCAAACTATAGTGTGTAGTTGGGTGCACAGCACTTTGCAGAATTCCTCAGATTGCACTGTAGTCTGAAGAAACATGAAATGCTTCCTCCTAAACAATTTAATTATGTAACAAGTGCTGCAAACCTATAGCATTCAATGGAATGATGCCTCTTTCTACCAAGAGGTTCTCTATCTGTGGTCAAAGCTTTTCTTCCATTGCCTAAAATTATTCTCATTTTAAACCTTCCATTTTAGTGTTGGAGTAAATGAGGTGATCGACAGTGAATACTTGTAGAGGGGTTTTTTTCCTGAATAATTTCACATTAATATGAAAGGGAAATTGCTGGCCTCAGTAAGATAAGTTTCTAAATCATGTCTGTAATAAGCTTTAAAAGAATGGTAGGTCAATTATGACTCTATTTATGATAAACATTCCCTTGCAAAAATCAATACAGTACGTTACAATTATAGATACTTTTCTAAGGGACAGACTGCAGTAATACGTGAGAATGAATGCTTTTTAGGAAAAGGTGTTTTTCCTGCAGTCTTCTCTTGCAGTCTTCTCTGTGTGATGGGTTTTTTTTGCATGACTAGTAGAAGCAAATAGGGTGCTCCTTGATATGTGGGTTTCTAGACCTCTTAGGATTAACACAGCATTCTTCAATTGTAAGCAGTGCTCTTCTACCTGGCATTTCACTAGAATAGTGCAGTGTTTGGTTATTTTTTGTATTATTGTTTGTTTGCCACAGAAAGACCACATATTCAGCACATTAATATCTTTGAAATTTTAACCTGTCTTTTACCACTGTTTTTAAGTCCTGTTGCATCATTATGTTTTTATAGCTTTGAGGTTAGAGATTTGATTTATGTATAAGACTGTTAGAAAACCCAAATGTTATAATTAAACCTGCAGATTTCTCAGTTTGTTGTTACCTGTCTCAGTCACACTTTCTGATGTATGTGAATCAGAGGTACAGACTATATTTTGAACTGTTTTTCAATATTCTGTGCCTGAGTACTTGTCTTTCTCAGGTCCTTTTGTTTGGGCAATTTCCAGGTTCTGCACATCCATGGAATTGTTTAATCAGAGTGCTTTTTAGATGTTTCTGAAATTCTTGATATGAATCAAGTGGGAAGTTAGTGAAGGAGGAAGGGCACAAAAGTAGACAAGTGTATTAACTGTGCTGCCCTCTTGCTCTCTACCATGTTTAAATGCAAAAGAATTGCAATGCCAGGCTGTTCTAGCAGTAAAGGATAACTGTGACCCTTTGTGGCAAACTTGACAGCCAGAAAGATTTATCATGACACTATAGAAACCTCTGATTGTTACCTTGCCAGATCGTATTGTCATTCAAGAGTTGCATAGTTAACTCATCACTGCAGATGAGTAAAGTATATACTACTCCCCAAAAATGAGGGGTGTGCCTGCAGATAACAAAGTGGCTTTCTAAACAATGTATCTGTAACTTTGTCCTCCTGAGGCCAGAGCAGTTCATAAAGAATTATCTTTGCAAAGCTGTCCAGTGTATCATTATTCTGGAGGACAAATTGCATCAAAAGAAAGGAGAATATAAAAAGCATGTAATTTTTATTATTAAAAGTTCAATTACTGTTTGGAAAACTTACAGAAGTGTTCTCAGGAATCCAGGGCAAAGTTTCAAATTGTTATTTGGTAATGGTTTCTGAAAGCTCCCGTGTGCATTTCACAGTAATGCCATAAAATCCTGTTGACTTGAATATATGTGTATACTTCACCTGGTGCTTTCCTGTGGCATATACCTTATCTAAGCAGTGGTAATTGCTTTTTAAACAATTGCTAGCTGGAATTAGGCATTCTTCTACCGTGCTTTTTGGGGTGCAGTTCAGTGTCTTAGCACAGCTGCATTTGGTCATTCAGGTCATTTCAGATTCATTGATTTAAGAATGGAAGCATGTCAAATGAGTGTAGAAAACTTCAGAGCTTTATTAAAGAAAATCAGGAATGAAAATAAATGTTTTTTGGTTATCAATAATGTGATGCTGAAATGATTGCTGTTGTGGTGTGCCTATGCAATGAAAGTGTGGAATCGGTCACCAAATCAATCAGGTTGGAAGGGACCATGGGGGGACATCTGGTCCAACCTAGAGCACGTGGCACAGGACTGCATCCAGATGGTTCTTGAATGTCCTCTGTGGTCAACCTGTTCCATCTGTGGTCACCTGTACAGTTAAAGAATTCTTCCTCATGTTGAAGTAGAACTTCTTTGCATCAGTTTCTGCCTGTTCCCTCTTGTCCTATACATAATAAGGTTTCATTTTTTAAGTTTAAGTATTTGAGTTTTACTGAAGCTTTAACATACCATATAGATTGTCTCTGTTACTGTTCTGCTAGTTCCTAGACTGCTGGCATCAGTAATGATGTCCTGTTGTTACCAGCATAAAGGAAAGTGCCTGTTACTAAATCCTTGGATCCAGGTGTGCCCTAAGGTACTTAGTAAAACTGAATGATAAATTATTGTATTACCTTTTCTTTTTTCCCTGAGTTTTTAAATGGTTTCTGCTTTATTTATAGCAAACCGTGGCCTTTGTTTCTTCATGTTTCTGGAGTAAGCAAAATTAGTTAAGTTTAAATGCTGTTTTATGCAAATGGACAGTCAAGTTTTCATCATTTTTACATTTACTACCATTTCTGAAGGGAGTTGGTTTGAATACATTTTTATAGAAAGAAATGTATTTCATACCCAATTTATAGACAAATTTCCTGGTTTTCATGGGATTTCATTATGGCAGAGATATCTGTTTAACTTTTGAACCTTAAAGAATAAATTAATTTTCATTACTTTTGCAATGAGGAATTCAAGTTACAAAAGGAATTATTTCTTAAATTTGACACCTCTTTCAAGTAAATACAGAACTTAAAAAAACCTAGACAAACTTTCACCTCTTGTTCTAGTCTTTGTTCTTACTTGTTGCAAGATCATGAAAAATACTTGCCATTAGCAAACTTTACACATCATAATTAAAAGGGTAGCCCAATAATTACCTTTCAGTGTTTTGATGAGGGTTACTAGATGGTGAAATGCTATGTAAAAAGCCTGCTGTAGATGGTGCAGCTCTCATGTAGTGCCTGGTTTAAACAGGCATCACAATAACACTATTTCAGGTGCATGGATGCAGACTTTCTAGGTGCATTTGAGAGTTTTCGATACTTTTAAGTAACAGGAATGAAGGGAGTTGTCTTTTTTAAGTTGACCCTTCACACAAACCTTGCACCTCATGAAGTTAATGATTTTAGCTTAACAAAGAAGTCAGGAGGTAAGAAGCTCAGGTTAGGCATCAGTTGAATTTAAGACTTTGTGCCTGATGTTTCCTGTTGGATGACTGTCACCTTTCAAAGGCATTCAGCTGATAGAGACTCAGGTGCTGTTTTAGTCCTGATGAGTGTGCATATTTGGCTTATACTTCTTGTATTGTTTTCCGTATTTACCATTCACTGAGACTTCTCTCTTCGAAGTCTGAACAGTGTGAACATTCAGCAGTTTAAAGGACTGAAGTGTTGTGGATTCCAAGGCATAGTTCATCTAAAGACTGTGAGCCAGATTGGTATTTTGATTGTGCTGTTCAGAGTTAAACATGATCACTGCTGATTAGCATGAGAACGCTGTAGCTGCATCTTGTTTTACAGCTGTTACTGAAGGAGCTCCTATAAATTCTGATCAAGTACTTCCTTTTACTGAATTGAGTGTGCCTGTCCTCTGGATAAAATTCATTATTGAGAGAGCATAGCTTTTTCCAGGGCTTATCCTGTGGCTCCACTGCTTTGTCCTTAGCACTGTAGTAACTAATGATTTTTCATTTGTTTGTTGTCACATTGAGTTCTTTAGTTGTTAGATGTTAGTTCTTTGATTGCCTATGAAAAATGATTCCTAAGCAATTTCATTCTCAGAGCAATATGAGTAATTGACAAAAACTTAGAATTGAGCAACAAATACAAAGGAGAAACTTCCCTTCTAAAGTCACTCTGGATATAAAATAACTACTTAGTAGAAGCATCTGAATTCTGAAGGCAAATACTTCTGTAAGATGAACACAGGGATGACTTGGATGATTTGAAAAAGCACACCTTTGTGACAGAAGCCTGTGGTTTGAGGACAGCATTGAGTGCATCAGAGTTGGGTAGAAATGACATGAGTGGACCTTATTTCCCTTTAAGCCTTTGCTTCCTGGGAAGTTCAGTTAGAGTAGCTTCTCTAATTGAAGTACCACAATTTCTCTGTATCCATTGGCTTCAATTGTCTGAAGGAATATTGTTCTCTCCTTTGATGTTTATCTTATTTAATAGAGCATTTCCAAAGTTCAAATATGGTTCACTTTTTCTGTATTGGATGGAATATTCATAGCTAAATTCTTCTATACATGAGTTCACGCAGCTGTGAATATGAAGTTAAAAACACCCAAGACTGTAGCTGTCTATGCTTGAAGGCTGAGAAAGAGGTAGATACATATAAAAGAAAACTCATTCAAATTGTGAGTGTCCAGACTCTTTCTTCATGTTTGTAATTTCAACCAAACTTAATATTTTATCAGCTTTAAAAGTTTTTCTTTGTTCAATAAGTTTTCAAAGGTTTTTCTCTGCATTCAAATTTTAAGAGTGCTCTAATTGTTGTGGTTTGTTTTCTCTCCATCAGTGGGTTATACCTTGTTTCTTACAGGTCTTCATTGCCATCTAGTGGCTGTAGTTATTCAAAGGACTTGGTTTAGAATAAAGCTGAAATGAGAAAAGGTATGAAAAAAGTAGGGATTTTTTTTTTCTTGTGTTCTAACCAGTAAGATAAATACGAAAGAGTACATGAGGAAAGAAGGTAAATGTGTCATGTGCTTTATGATGTAATATTTTTTGGTATAGAAGGGATTTGTTGGATTTTTGTTTTGGTTTTGTTTGGTTGGGATTTTTTTTAGCAAAGCATTGCTCTGTTAACAAAGGTTGACACTGATTTTTGATCTGTGTACAACTTCATCAGGAATAGCTTGTAGCTGATGACCATGATGCTTTTGAAAGAGTTTCATAGATAATTCAGCTGTATACATATTGGTATACAATATTTGCTGTGCAAATAAAACAAATGTAAATGAAAAATTTTGACTGCAGATTTATAGTCAAGAAAGAAAGTTTGAGGAGTTTTTTTGCCTGCAGGCAGTACATTTTTGTTCATTTTCCTAACCACTAAGACATTTTAAGTAGCAGTAAGACTTAAAATTTGGTGATTTGTTTCTCTGGCAGAGAATATCCATTAACAAGAAATACTACAAATACTTGCATTTATTTATGTGTGTTCCTAATATATATGTATTTAATGATGGTATTATTAACAGCACTTGGGTTTCATCTATTAAGAATTCTGTTAACCTAGAAAAACAATTTATATCTGTTAAATAAATGTGATCATGCTGAAAAATAGTAACACTGAATAAGTGAGATAAATAGGAGTTTTTCACTGGATTTTCCTACTAAAGCTACCATTAATGGTGTTTAATAGAAGTAAGAATCATTTAGGATGAAAAAGACGTTTCAGATCATCAAGTTCAACTGATTATCTGGCACTGACCTCTCTTGCCCAGGACTCCCACAGACACCTCAGAAGCTGAATAATTTTGTCCTCAGAAACGGAATAATTTTGACAGGGAGCCCACAGTTCAGTTCACTCTCCTACCCACCACTGTGGCAGCCAGTGGAGCCTCTTCCCTCTGCCCAGAATTCAATTGTCCCAAGCTCAGTTTAAAAATAAAAAAGCAAGCAGCTAAGCCAGAAAGCCCTCACCTGTAAGATAGGAGTCATTGTTGGGTTGCAGAAGTGCCAAGTTACAACACTACTCTCCAAATTGAAATTAAAAAAATAATTAGAGACTTTTTCATGATTCCCTCCCTTACATACCTGTTCAGCTACCTCACAACTGGATGCACTCATTCCACTTTATCTTTGATCATAGCAAAATGATAAAAACACAGAAGCTTGTTTGCTAGATAAAACCAAACCTTTTCAGGATTTGGACTTTAACAATTTGCAGAAACTTCAAGACCAATGCGTTGTATTATAATGATGAATTTAATTTTGAACATATTGCTATAAGTAGCATCTAGACTAATCAGAGTCAGTGCTGCTGAAAACTAGGCCATATTTTTTACACATACTGATGAAGATATAAAATTATCTATTCCATTTAAAAGAGATTTATGTGTGGACAGAATCAGCTCCCTCCTTGTTTATGCTAAACATTTAGGAATTGTAGTCAGGAGTTGTCCATTAAATTAGTTTGTGGAACTGTTCTGTTTGTATTAATTGCTCAATCATTTAGCACCTGCAAAAGACTATAATAACTTTTGAAGTCTTTTTTCCTCTCTTTCAGAATATCTTTGTAAGGTAATTTTTTTTATTTGCATTTTAGAAAGTCTTCAAGACAAGTGAAGGGCATGGCTTCATTTGAGTGTAAACTCAAGTGCAAAGTGTGAATGTGAAAGCATTGGGTACACATCAGTTTGTTTATTTGGAAAACTGTGTAATTCCATAATGTGTTCTTCATTTTCAGGTTTTTTTGTCCTCCTCCATGTGTGTATCTCATGGGCAGTGGATGGAAGAAAAAAAAAGAGCAAATGGAGCGGGATGGTTGCACTGAGCAGGAGTCACAACCTTGCGCCTTTATTGGAATAGGAAACAGTGACCAAGAAATGCAGCAGCTGAACTTGGAAGGAAAGGTAGAAAAACTGTAATAAACCACTAAGATAACTAACCACAAAAGATATTATAGCTACATGGTGCATATTTCAAGGAATGCCCTTTCTTAACTTTTAGATTATTTCCTTACACTCTGGGTATTACATAATGGTTTGGAAAAAAAAATCTCTCAAAATATTTAGGACAATTGAATAGTTGATTTTGGCTCATAGGGTCATAGCAAGGTACTAACCTTTAATATGTAAGTTATGTAGACTCGGTAAGCTGTAGTTTATTTGGTAGACATCAGTGGCTAACTAAAATATGGTTTCTGGCCCAAGCTCTCTGTCCTGCTTCTTGGTTTGCATGAGTGGATAGTCTTATCAAGAAAATATCAAAACAGTTGCTGCTAGAAGTAGTCTTCAAGTCCTTTGCCTAAAAATACAATTGAAGTAGCATCTTAAAATTTAGTAGGTTATTTTTATAGTGGTGTAAATTGATCGCAAGATTCTTCTAAAAGGTATTTGTGATGACTTAAACAGTTGGAATAGAACTAGCAGCAAAAGTATTCATTTTACCTCATTGTTTTATTAGGCAGTATTTTATAGGTACCTGATATTTCCAGCACAGTCTAACAGAAATGCTTCATATATTCTAAGTAGGAAAAGAATAACTGAAGTTCTTTATGAGATTTTTTTAAATTCTGTTGTCACCTAGCATAAACACTTAGCCAAAAGGAACTTCCTTGTGTTTCAAAACCCAATCATTTCCCATCCTTTCAAGAAAAGTTTAACTCAACACATTTTCTGCATAGGGGGTCCTTTGTGCATGCCCAGTGTAGGACAGTGTCAGCCCTAATCAAATGTAGTTTTTAGCTCTTGATCCTTCACAGGTGGCTTTGACACAGTTATAGTCTCCAATCATGTCTTCTAGTCCTGGTAAGGGTCTTTAGAATGATCACAGAGTAATGAAGTTGGGTGCAATGCTTCACAAAGCTAGACAGTCATGAAAGAAATGCATGCAGAAGAGATGGAAAAAACAGGTTCTCCTCTGTTTTAGAAGCTATTGCATCAGTTTTTTCCTATTTTACTCTTAATTGAGTATGCATAGTTTCTTGAACTGGGTTGTCTTCAAAGAATAAACCACAGTATGTTTTCACCTACAGAATTATTGCACTGCCAAAACATTATACATATCAGACTCAGACAAGAGAAAGCACTTCATGTTATCAGTAAAAATGTTCTATGGCAATAGTGATGACATTGGTGTGTTCCTCAGTAAACGGATCAAAGTCATCTCCAAGCCTTCTAAAAAGAAACAGTCACTGAAAAATGCAGACTGTAAGTATTTCACTGTTTTTTGCTTTTATTTAGTTTCATACTAATTTTTTGTTATGTATTCTAAGGTCTGACTACAAGAGAAATACAATGAAATTTTCACCTTCTGGTTTTTTTTCTGTATTTCAGAACTGTACGCATCAGTGCATTTTAAAATTCTCCAATATGGATAGTTGACCCTGTTGAGTTTTATGCATTCATGGTTAATTATTTAGTAATTATAAAAGGCCCACCCAAATCCACACGTATTCTGAAGAATGAATTCATGTAGACAAGTGTATAAAGAATGTTCTACCTCAGCTTTCTAAGCTTTTGGATCTCTTTATCTGCCATGATCTGGTGCTTAGAATGTTTTGATCAGTATTGAAGGGATTGCTGTCAGATTGTGATAAATGAGTAGCATCATGTTATCCAAACTGCACTTTGTTACATCACAGCCACCTTCTTACTGTCTCATGCCATTTTCATGTTGTTCTTATTTTTGTTTTGCATGGTTTCTTTTAAGTAGTCGTTTAAGAAATCTGTATGGTGATATTTCACCCAGATTTGCTTACTATGTTTTTCAGCTAACGATATCTCTGGTGCTAATGTGTAATTGGGAACGTTTTTCCTTTTCCTCCAACTTTTTTTGCCTGCATAGAACTGGAGCACCTCAAGAGATAGCCTTTTTTTGTTTGTTTTTCTCTCTCTCTTCACTAGTGCTTTAAAAGGCTCTTCCATCTGTGTTGGGCTGGAACCCATTCACCTATGGAATGTGGATCTCGGGCCGCTAGCTTGGCACATGACTAAAGGCAATCAATCTGTTGCTGTGCAGTTCACGCCCATGGGCTCAGAGTATGCACTGTTGAATTTGTATTCAGACAGATAGTTTTGATGGACAGTGAATATGCACCAAGCATTCTTCAATAGTAAATATAAACCAAGTAGAACAACATGCCCGTTCTGATGGTAGAATTTTAGTTGCTGGTGGTTTTTTTTAGCGGAGCAAACTTAACATTTCTCTCTCTTGAATGATAAGGAAGTTCAGATCTGAGAACATTACGAGTTGCATGGTTATAATTTGACATAGTTACATCCGTCTTCCTTTCAGTTGCTTGTGATTTATAAGAATACTTTGTCTTTATATTTCAAATATTCTTCAAATGATTGCTGAAAGCTGTCTTAAGTACTTCACAAGGGCAAGCTAAAGCTTCTGCTTAAATAATCAGTTGCTGGAGAACTGTGAACAGTAGGAGTTTTCAGCTGGCAAGCACTGGCCCATTTGGCTAAGTGGCAAAATTCTGTGAGCTAGCATGCCTTTGGAGAACAGCCACTATATATGTTATTGCACTCATAATTTTATGACTATTTTTGGTCTGTCACAAATGCAAATATTGTCTAAATTAACAATATTTCATAATTATGTCTTGATTTCAAGTATTCTTCAGCTTATTTTATGTTATTTATTACTTTTTGGTACTTTTCTGTGTAATAATGAAGTAATTTTATAATCTCAAGTCTGTATGTGTTCCTTGCAGTATGTATTGCATCAGGGACAAAAGTGGCACTATTTAATAGACTTCGATCCCAAACAGTTAGCACCAGATATTTGCACGTAGAAGGTGGTAATTTCCATGCCAGTTCACAACAGTGGGGAGCATTTTACATTCACCTCTGTAAGTAAAAGCAAATCTGTGTATTCTTTTTCCACTTTATTCCTTCATCCTCACAAAAAAAGTCCTGCATTTTTTCCTCCACATTAATTGCCCATATGCAGACTTACTTTGTTACTGGTGTATATTTGATGTAATAGTGTAATGTTAAATGTTTCTCATATCAAGAAAAACAGTGATTAAAACAAGTAATTATAAAAACTCCTGTTTCATGCAGTGGATGATGATGAATCCGAAGGAGAAGAATTCACAGTGAGAGATGGCTACATTCATTATGGGCAGACTGTCAAACTTGTGTGCTCAGTTACTGGCATGGCACTCCCGAGACTGGTACAGTTTAATTTCTCCAATGCTGTAATTAATTTATAGATAGCAACTTAGTGTAATTCTGTAGTTGGGTTTGCAGTGTTTACATTTTTTGGCCTTGTGTTGCCTTTGGGTAATGCATGGGTATTTATCTTAATTAAAGCATATTTTTGTATCTGCAGATTATTTCTTTAAACAAAGAACAACTTGTAAAATAAGGGAATTTTTCTGAATATAAGCCTACCAAAGTAGGTTAATGTGTCTCCTTTAAAAACAGGATTGTAGATGTCTCTGTTCCAAAATGGTTCAAATATTGATACTGAATAGGTGAATAAAGTATTTTCAGCCACTAGGACTCTTCCATATGTTGAGTCCCAGCGCAACTTATAAAATGCTTGACTGATTTGAACCTAATAGCACTTCTGTATACTCCTGAGGATGTGTTATACCAATAGCAGCTTGCAAAAAACTTTTTTGTTGTATTTATTAATACAATATTAATATTAATACTATCTGTTTTAAACCTGATGGGAATTGCATTTGGAATAGCCAGTTAAGGTTTGTGAACCAAAAAATAAAAATTACTTTTGGATACACAGTACTGGGTTTTGTAAATGAAGTTAAGTATAATTATAGATTTTTTCCCATTTTTTTCCCATTTTCCCATTTTTGCCAGCTTAAGTGGAATTTTATGTGATTAATAGTCAGTAATGCTTCATATGGGATCTTCTGTGAAATTGTGGTTTGTCAGCCCATTATGAGTTTCATACAAGGCTCTGCTAACTCCAGTTTAGGTAGAAGCAATCCTTAGAATGCAGTCAGGCTTTTGTTCCCCTTTCCAGATTAATTTTGGTAGGACTGTAATGAGAAATTCTCTCCCAATGCCAAACTTAGCTGAAACAAAAAGATAATAGCCTGCTCAGCGTAAATGGTACAAAATGAAAATTCTGTTTGACAGTGAAATCAGTTACACTGGTTACACTACAGATGAAATTCAAGCTCAGGAAATTCAGTAAGAGGATGTCACTTTTTTTATGGGCTTCATGTTAATACTTTTTTATTACTGAAAGAAGATGCCATCATTTATTATTCGAGAAACCCTATTTGTAGGTAGAAGCAGATTAAAACAAATTAAAGGTTCCTGTTTTGTTTGCCATGGGGAACATTTGTCATACTGCCTTAAAGGACTGATGGGAGGTGATGCAATTAAAAGATAACTTGCAGATACTTTATCAGCAAATGCAAAGAATTTAGAAGAAAAAGGTTAACCTTTAAATTTACATTGCTAATAATACTCTTTATTATAATTATAATATCGATATTGCAGAGGATAGTTGGCTTTCTGATTGTCAGCTTAGAAATATTCAGGTACTTTGGCTGTTGCATCTAGTAGTGTTGCATAAAGCATTAAACTTCTTTATGGGAGTTAAAATTACAAGCTACAGATTTTCACTCTCTAAGGGAATAGCTTTTGATTTTTAGAAATAAATTGGCAAAACAGATCTGAATTAAATCAGCAGATATATTTTCACTGGACTGCCAGATGTAAGGAACAATTGTTTTTTGCAGTTGACTTAAAGCAGTATTTAATGACTAACTTCTGATAAGAGATATTATGATTGTTGTTTCCAAAACTGTCCTTAAGGACATGTCAGTACCTTTAGTAAATCCTTATTTTAATTATTCTCCTTCAGGAACCAGTTTGCCACAGAATGCTGTTGATCCTATCCATGGGGAAAGCTACTATAGAAGCATATTAATTACTAAGAATAGTAATTAATAATAATTGAAGATAACAATCTAATCAATAACTGCTCTTTTACACCAGTGAATGAAGCAAAAGTAGATTTTGCTGAAGCTTCAAAATTTTCTCCACTCCTTCAGCAAAAATAGATAACATATGTATGCATGTAGCACATTGAAGTAGTACTGAGTATCACTTCCATGTTGTGTTCTTGTTTCAAAAGCATTAAGAATTATGAATCTAACATTGATATCAAAATAAGAGGCATGGCAATGTTATAAAAATTACTCTTCTTTTACTGACTGTGTATATATATAATAAAGTACAGAAATTGTTCTAAATATATATGTACAATTTTCATTCACAGATAATTCGAAAAGTAGATAAACAAACGGCATTATTGGATGCAGATGATCCAGTATCACAGCTCCATAAGTGTGCATTTTACCTTAAAGACACAGAGAGAATGTATTTGTGCCTTTCCCAAGAGAGAATAATCCAATTTCAAGTAAGTTGTTTAATACTATTTCAACAGATGAGAAGTGTAATTGCAAAGTTTTCCAAAATATCCCCAAAATACCTATGAATGCCATTTTTGCAGTAGCTTTTGAATTTGAGTCTAATACTTTGTTTTGAAAAGGGAAGATGGAAAGCAACAAATTGATATCTGTGCCTTTTCCAAATCTATTTTTCTTTCCTTATCATGTTTTTCCATGTCTGTTTGGAAAATGAATTCTGGTTTCTCCAGTGGAGAAAAAGGAAACACTAGAAACTTGTGCATGTGATCATGATAGTGTGGCTTAACATGTTGACATATGCCAGTGGAGCTGTACCACTTATTTGTGTGTCCCTTTCTAGGTTACAGCAAATAGGAAATGATAGCGTTGATAAGTCTTGTTTCAAGATGAGCTCATCAGAGCTGCCATGTGTTGCTCTTGGCTAAGAGTGTAAACATAGGCAGCTGTGGCAGTTGCCCACAGTAACTTGAAAAGCCACAGAAATTAGATTTGTCCATAAAGAATATAAATGTCTCAGAAATATTTTGTTTCTCCAGCAGGTGGAGAAAAACATTGAGTTTTAGTCTCTTGTATGTTAGCATGCCTGTAGCACTTTCACATGGTAATTCCTACCAGACCAACAAGGACCCTGAGCTTGGGTCAACTGTTCATAGCATGGTGCTGAAAACAACAAGGTGGTGGGTTCAGTCTCTGAACATGCTGAGTCTTTACTTGAGTTGGACTTGATGACCCTTGTAGGTCACTTACCACTCAGAATATTTTGTTACTCTGAGGACTTTGACCAAGTTCAGGACTACCCAAGTATTGCAATTTTCTTTAAATATTTTGGAGGCAGCTCAAATAACAAAGGGTGTTGAGAGATAATGCTGTTCTCCAGGAAGATGGCCATGCTTGAGAAAGATTCAGGACTTGGAACAGCTGTACCTTCTTGGGTAAGAGAAGTAGAGGTAGGAAATTAGAAGCTAACATTTAAGATGTCCTTTATTTTAATGGAAGGGGCAGAAGGCTTGGTAAAGAGTCAATTCAATTCTGTCCTGAATTGGAACAATGGAAAGAGAATATGAGAAGCTTTGTTCCTATTTCAGTAAAAGTACTAGTGACCTGTGGTTCAGAAGGGACTAGATCTATTGTTTCTACCCATGGTACACAGCAGAAATACATATCTGTCAATATATGTTCTTGTAAAGTAGAATGGACTATCATTAAGAAGAGAAAGCTGTGAAATGTGAACAACAATAACTCAGGATCAGCCTGCTATTTAATCATTTTTAGAGTACTGTATGGGAAGCACTGAATGAAGAAACAATTCTGGCTTCTCTGACAGCTGCCTTAGCTCAGCATCCTGGAATCACCTGCGGGACTATCAGGATGTCCTACCACTCTTCAGTTTCAGTAGCATTCACGGAGCCCAGTCTGATAAGAGCTCTGAACTTTCTACATGGGTAGGAGTTAGATAAAAGGACACTCCCTATCCTGAATTCTATTCGTGGAATAGGTACCTACTGCTTATACCTATTGAATAAAATCTGGTAACTTGCACATCAGACGGTTACCATGCATTGATAGATGAAATCACAATGGAAGATAAACTCTTTCTGTCAATGTCAGGAGAGAAATCCTGTTTTATCTGGGTTATTTTGGATCAGAAGACAAAGACAGGGAAACTACATGTGTATACTGTTCCTATAGTAGGAATTTAGACAAATTGTGGTCACTGTTGAAAAAAAAAAATAAACAGCCAAAAAAATCTCAAAATAACAATAATAACAGCAGCCCCCCAAAATTCTGAAACTCTAGGATGACAAGTCTCTCTTGGATGAATAGAAATAGCCTTATATAGAGACCATAGAGGCTTTGAGCAAAGAGGCTTTAAAAAGTCTGCAGGTGAGCATGAGCCTTGAAATTCAGTTGCTGAAGCACCAGCCAGATCTCTTTCAAAACATGCATGTATTCTGGAGCATGGAGAGAGGATATAAATCATGCCTTACTGGATCAGAGCATAGTCCATGTCTGTGTCTAGTCTACCAGAAGCAGCAGGAGTTGATGCTTACAGGAAGCAGGTGGATCTGGTTGTGTTTTGCAGTCCAGTGTGGTTGTACTCTGTCAGCATCCAGACTTCCTGTACCAGGTGTTAAATGCTGCATTCCTGACTCTTATCTTTTAGTGTCATTTTGTAGATATGTAAATTAGTTTGATTACTTTAGAATGTGCAGATGTTCCTTTTCTTCAGTAATCTGTGGCAGAAAGTTCAAGGTTTCCTGTTCCCTGTGTAGTAAATGTATGCTGTGTTTGTTTTGAGTGATGTAACAATTTCTGTGAGTGATGCCTACTTCCAGTTCTGCAGTATTTACTGAGCACCAGTTCTGCATTCACTTAGACATCAACATCTTAATTTCTTCTCTCCTAGTTGGAAAAACAGTGTCTTCTCCATTTCTTTTCATAAGTTCAGCACCCCTTGGTGATTTTAGTTGCCCTTTCTGTCCTTTCTCTTGTTTTTTCTCCATGACTTTTTTAGATAGGGAGACCACAGCTGCACCCAGTATTACAGAATTAGTTGAACAAGGAATTTACACTGGCAAAATAGTACGAGAAAGCTTGTTCTCAGCACTTTTTTCTAATGGTATCCAACATTGTGTTGTCACTCACAGCTGCCACTGCACATCAAGGAGGTGGTTTCAGAAAACTGTCAGTGACAACCCTAGGATCCCAAGTTGTAACTTCTGCCTCCAGTTGAAGCCAGACAGTACATGAGTACTAAGCGTGATGTTAAGGCATTTTCATTTTCTAGTGCCACCTGTTGAGAAAATTTCGTTTAGAAAGGAATGGTGAGAAATATCCCTAGAGCCATATTTGGAAGTGACAAGGAAGAATGCTTCTCTAAAAGAGGAATTGAAAACTTTTAAACATTTCTGTAACAGATGGAGTAATGTGTTACTGAAATGATTCTCGATGTAACATGATTTTGAGAACAAATTCTGTGGCATTTGCCTTCCACATCATAGAATTAGGAAATGTGGAAAAAATCAGTCAAGGATCTTTTACAGGGTTGTTCATTTTTTCATATCCGTGATTTTATTTGTAATGACTCAAAGTGTATCGTTCCATGCCAACAAGAATTGCAATCAGCCCATAGGAAATATGTCATGCTTCAAAATAGTGTACAACAATTTCTACAGAACAGCTCCTCTTTTGAAGGTGGGCTAGTAATTCAGAATCTGCATATGTTTCTGATGGAAATTTAATTTGGGCATCTTGTGTTTGGAAAGGTATGTAGTTACTATCCATGCCACACACTTCCCTTACCAGCTGTTTTCAGTGTTTTTTATGTGATCATACCAGAATGGAGAGTCCACATGAAAATGCAGATTTGTTCTTTAACATCTGATATGGACAGTTCATGGTAATTGAAGTTTATCTGCCAATTTGAAGAGTGAAGGTTATGGTTGCATACCAATATATCCTTAAAGCTTAATGGATGGAAAGAGAATCTAGTTATTAGAAATTTTTATCCCATTTTCTTCTGTGTTTAACCTATACGCAGTTTTCTTGTGAGTTGCTAGGTGGTGAAATTGTTCAGAGAGGCTTCTGTTGCCGTAAAAAAACATTTGTGCATTTTCTATGTATCTATGTATACGAGGTAAGCACTAGATGACTTTTGAGGTCCCTTCCAATGCAAGCCATTCTGTGATTTCCATTATTCTAATTTGTAAGACTGTCATTTCAGCTTCTCTCATATGTCCTTGCACACTGAAATATAAGATTGTGTTTTTCCATCATTTTGTGGAGGGTGAAGAACTCTAAAAAGAAAAAAAAAATCTTCAGCAGATAAAAAAACATAACTACTGAAAAGTATTCCACTTCAGTCTATAGCTGTTGTAGATATTTTTGCCTTAAGAAAAGATCTGTTTTAAAGCAACTACTTCTAGTTGATGTAGGTTTTTTGTTCATAAATAACATTAGAACAGGTTGGAGAAGTGACAGTGTTCTTGGTGAGAACTTACGGTGTTCTCACAAATACTAGTTTTCCGGTAGTTTTTCCGAAATGTGAAGACGGTTTCTCTAGGTCATTTTTAATAGGAAAACATAAGGAAACGTGGTTTTGAAATAACAGGCATTATTACTGACTGAATTGGTTTTTAGGTCTGTGACTTGACAGATGTGTACAGATCAGATTTTAAACTTTTCTTTCTCTCTTAAGGCCACTCCATGCCCAAAAGAACCAAATAAAGAAATGATTAATGATGGAGCTTCTTGGACAATCATTAGCACAGACAAAGCAGAATATACATTTTATGAGGGGATGGGTCCAGTCCATGCTCCAGTGACACCTGTGCCTGTCGTGGAAAGTCTTCAAGTAAGTTGGTAGTTTGTTTTAATAAACTGTTTTATGTGAGATTATTTTTGCATTACTCATTTAACCTTCATGGTACCCTTGTGAAATACTGCTGGAAAACAGTCTTAATAGCTTTATAAATAATAAAATTACTGTGTTGTAATAATTTTTCTTATTTACATTTCAGAATACATGAGCCCATCCATCATAGGAATAATACTAATATTATTGTATACAATTAGAATTTTATTTCTGAAAGTACCGTTATTGCGATATCCTTAGGACTTCTGTTTGCTTATTTAGAAATTGTTTTTGGTTCTTGCAAATTACAGATCAAAGAGAACCATGCTAAAAAATCCCCCCAGCATTTGGCAGAGGAAAAACTTAAAGCTCGCCTTTTTCTGAAAGATTTTGTTCTCTCTTTTCAAAGCCTTGTTGACATCTATTCTAAGTGGCCACTATCAAAACTTGTAAATTCCTTCATCATATCAAATTAATTGGCAGTACCTTTTAGATGTGGTACTTCTTTATACTTCAGTTGTGTAGTTTGTGTTTGTGTTTTGGTTTTGTCCAGCTGATAAAAACAGCACTGTTTAAAGTTCTTATCTTCATGTGAAGATTTTGTTTGTGACTTTTTTGGTTGGTGGAATTTTTTTGTTTCTTGGGGTTTTTCATTTGTTTAGTTTTTTTCTGATGGGAGAATGTTTGTTTGTTTATTCTTAATAATACATATTTTGGGGGGGATTTTCTTCTTTTTCTATTTACTTTGTTTCCAGTTGAATGGTGGTGGGGATGTAGCAATGTTGGAACTTACAGGACAGAATTTCACTCCAAATTTACGTGTCTGGTTTGGGGATGTGGAAGCTGAAACGATGTACAGGTACAATATTTTCTATTACATTTGTGGTATTTATGTTTTACTGGGTGCTTTGAATACCGTATACTTGTGTACACACTCAAGTGTACACTTCTCTGCACTGCAGAAAGAGGTTTTGGAGTCCTGGTTGCCAGGATGGGTTAGCAATGAGGCCTGGCAGCAGGGAGACCAAACTGCATCCAGCTGGTCAAAAGATCTCTCCCACTGCAGTCAGCACTGGTGCAGCCTCACCACGAGCACTGCTTGCTGTTCTGGGCTCAGTTTAAGAAGGATGTTCAGGTACCAGAATATGGCCGGTGAAGGGCTGGAAGGTCCTAGGAGTTGCAGCTGAGGACTTTGGGCTTGGTTTAGAGAAAAGGAGGCTAAGAGGTGACCTCATTGCTCTCTGCAGCTTCCTGAGGAGGGGAAGTAGAGAGGGAGGTTCTGAGCTCTGCTTCCTGCTATCCTGTGCCAGGACACGTGGGAATGGTTCAGAGCTGCGCCAGGGAAGATTTAGACTGGACATTGGGCAACATTTCTTCACTGAGGAGGTGGTCAGACACAAGAACAGGCTTTCTAGAGAGGCAGTTGATGCCCCAAGCCTCTCTGTGTTTAACCAAATCAAGGGCACTGCACTTTAGTAATATGATTGTAACTTTTGGTCAGCCCTGAAGTGGTCAGTGTGTGTGCGCTAGTTGAATATTGTAGGTCCCTTCCCACAGAACTGTTCTGTTCTATTGAGTTCTTTCAACTTAAGTGCATTGTACTCAGTTGACTCTCCTGTTTTTCAGATGTGCAGAGAGCATGCTTTGTGTTGTTCCAGACATTTCTGCATTTCGAGAGGGTTGGAGGTGGGTCCGACAGCCAGTCCAGGTTCCAGTAACTTTGGTCCGTAACGATGGCATAATTTACTCCACCAGCCTTACCTTTACATACACACCGGAACCAGGGCCACGGCCACACTGCAGTGCTGCTGGAGCAATCCTCAGAGCCAACTCAAGCCTCATGGCTTCCAGTGAAACAAACACAAACAGTGAGGGAAGTTACACAAGCGTCAGCACAAACCCCACCAATGTCACATCATCTACGGCAACTGTAGTTTCCTAACTACTGTTGTTTGTCTGGACTTTAATTGACTTTTCGTGCTACATTCAAGAGAACTGAACAATTTTTGTGGTTTCATGGGAAAACACTTTTTCATTTTAGGTGATATGATTTGAACCTTGTTACCTGCAAGTGCTGATCTTAAAAACAGAAGCCACAATAAAAAAAGAAAAAACCAACATCCGAAACATAAGAACTTTATTGAAAATCTATTTTTCAGCTGTGTTTTTTTTAGTGGGCAAGAAACAAAAATGTGGCTGGGATACATGTTGAGCAAACTAGAAAACATGAACACAACATAGTTTTTATGGACCAAGGAACTTGTATAAGCTTTAGTATAAAAGGTACATTTTCACCATACCTTTTTTGTATCACAACATATAGTACACTTTTGTTACCAAATAGTTTATATTTTTTTTTTCCTCTGAGCTTTTGCTCTGAAGTATATTCAGGTTCCAAGCCTGACCATGCTTGTATAATCTAATTACCATACTCTTCCAGTTTTAAAAAAAAATATATATATTTTTGGTCTGTGGCTGGAACTGTTCCTTTTTTTAAACTGAAGTCTTGTGACTTTTTATGAACTGAAATTGTTTTTATTTCAGCAAGTAGAACCTTGTAAAGGCCAGCATATTTTTTTTAAGATTATATGAAGTCTGTGCAAAAGCTTTAAAAAATGCCTCTGCCTTGCCTGCAATACATGCAATGTATGTTAACTTTAGTGCTCTGTTTTCAGTCATTGTTAATAGTTATTTCTGTTTTTCTTTTTTAAATATGTATTTATAGTGATAATTCATGAGGTTCTAACATTACATGAGTTTTTTTCCCAAAAGTGGCATCTCAAACAGTCATATTAATGATTGTTCATGTCACGGGCATACGTTGGTGTTTTTGAAGGGTTGTTACTGGGTTACTCCCCCTCTTCTTTGCTCAGTCATATTGCATCTGAAAATGTTTCAGGATCTGTTCAGGTTTTTCTAATCTTGTACATAATTTGTATTAAGTGTAAGTTAAATGTTTTATTTCAAAAGTGGAATGTTCCCAATGACTTCATTTGGCAGCATGTCTTCTGTCTTGTTGGCATGTAACTAAAGTACCATGAGAAGTATGTGCTACAAATGGGATTGGTAGGTGATGCCCTTCATCACTTAAAAATCACAAGCAGCATGTTTTTCTTCATACTGTTCAGTAAATTAGGCCAGACTTTTGTGTAACACTTGTATTGAGAACGTGCTTTCATTGTGAAGTGATCATACAGTAATAACTAGAAGTAAATTTTATTACTTAGAAATGGGCAAATAGGAAATCATAAAAGCACTATGAAGATGTCAACTCCTCCCATCCTTGTTTCCTGTGGGTTTCCCTTTCCCTGCCAACAGCTTGTGCAACATTCAAGTCTTCTCTCCAGCATAAATTCAAGGCTCATTTGCACTTTGACTTTGTTGGTTGTTGCATTTGTTTTTCATTTTGACTTTACCATGTTTTGTCCCTCCTTGTAGACCTGCCTGCTTCATTTGTATTTGAAAGCATACCCCAGTAGTTCACTTGTAGTCACAGAGCTAGGCATAGACTTGTAGGACAAGTTCTGACAGCGTGATCTTTCTCTTTAAAAGCCAAAATTTCATGGTGTGTTCAGCCTTTTCTATACCCTGAAGCAAAAGTCACAACTGCTGTGTAAATGTGAACCTGTGGTTTCCTACAGTGCATTGCTTACAAGCTTACCTGTTGCCCATTTTCATAGGGTTTTTATTTCTGACCACTTATTCCAGTTTCAACACCCACCACCATTTTAAGGCATCGATTCTGCACCATATTTGTGTACTCTGACGCTCCATTCTACTTGTTTGCTTTAGTGCTCCGTTGTATGTGTAAAAAGTATGTGTTTAAAGGAAGAAATTGGTTATAAAGTATATTTAGCAAATAGTAAAGTCAGTGCCACTATCCTCCTGAAATGTGCTTGTATTCCACCACAGGCCTTCATACTCGTTATTCTGTATTATGAAACGTGTTCCTGGTAGTCCGATGCTGGTTCCTAGCACTAGTGAATGCTGCCTCACCTCATCTCCATTTCAGTGACCAAGGGCAGGATTCATTGTGGCCTTATCTCTGTTTTAAACTGTTTACTGGCATTTACTTGCAAATCTGTTTACCTTTGTATGTGTTGTAACATTTTGGTTTTTTGTGTTGTGGCAGGAATTGTTTCACAGTGTTTTTGTTAGAAGCACATAAATATCTTACAGTACAGCTTAGTTCAAGAGCCACAGATTTTCATCGCTAATTAGACTGAGAATTAAAATAAACAAGATACATATATCAGATTGAGGGTATTCAAGAATCCATGATAGACACACAGCAGGCAAACCGTAACAAGCCTTTTAACCTTCAAAGACTATTTAAAATAGCTTTTCAGAACTTGACACGTGCTTTTATACTCATTGTTTTAAATTTTTTACATATAAATGCAATACTTTTTATATTCAGTTTCTTTACATGCGGTAATTTTGCCCAATAGATATAATATCCCTTGACTTGTAAAGATTTAGCTTAATATCTGCTGTTCTACACACTACAGCCAAGTGGGTGAAAAAAGAGCCTATTCTGCTTACAAGACCATTTTAAACCACATGTTTTCATTTGGCTTGTGGGTCTCTTGTTGCCAGTAGTTATTCTGTAGTACAGAAATGGTCTTCCAGGTCCTTACTGTTGTTAGTACGTCCAATTGTTCAGATATATTATCTTCCTGAACTTCTTTTCTGTGGGGTAATATTGTTACATATATTGGCCTTGTGAGCTGTTAACAATTTTCATTATATTAACAATATCTCAAGATTTTGATAAAACTACTTATAGAGTGTTTCAGTATGAAACTCTTATAACTGTTCAAGTCTAGCTGTAAGTCTGCTGTTAATTCTGTATACATAGAAATTGAGTCTGTGTTCAGAATGTTGTTATAGTTCCAACTATAGGAAGAAGAAGCAAAGTGAGTGCTCTAATTTAGCTATGCCTTTTCTTGTTTTCTGTTAATTGGAACAGCGTTTCAGAATTCAACACTAGCATAGTCTTTAATAATCTGCTGCTGATGTTTTTTCCTAATTATTTGCCTTGAGGGCATCCCACAACTCTGTTAGTAATGGTATTCTGTACTTGTTTTCATTGCACAGACTTATAAAATCAGAATGGTTACCTGAAAAGACATTAACTCAAGACATAAATTGATGAATTCCCCATATAGAAAATACTAATGCCTAGTGAATCAAATTATCTATTGGAAGTAAGTTACCCACTTGTGGATTACATGACTTCATAGAGATGTCCATCTTGAAACTAAGATGCTCTTCAATTATTAACCATATTTACTTTCTTTCAAAAGCAGCTGTGTTTATGAGTACTGAACAAATGTGTATACTTTCCTGTGCCAGACTTTTGACTTTGTTTTCAAGCACTGTACTGTGGGATTGAGTGGCAGCTTTGTTAGAAAAAGAAGTATATTAGGGTTTCTACTTAACCCTTTTAGGACTGAACAATTTCTTCCCTTTAGAAGCTGTAAAATAAATGAGCAGTTCTAACTTCATATACATTCTGTCTGTGTTCAGCACTGCATTTGCCTCATCTGGAGGTGCTATGCTAATGTCATTTTTTAAAATCCTGTAGCATGTGTATACATTCAGTCTTAAAAGGGTTATTTTTACAAACTGTGCACCTGTAAAGTTTCTTAGCAATAAAGGTAGAAAAACGAGCAAGTTTTTACCATAATTTTGTAGAATTAATTGCTCAGTTCCATATTTCATCAAGAAAACCCCTGCAATATGGGCAGTTTTGAGGATTAAATAAAAGTGAAATGTAAACCACATAAGTGTTCTTGTCAAGTGTACTCTGTGTGTGTATGTGCATAAACTATTGGGTTTCATTTTTTTCTACAAGGCTAAAGATAAAATGCCATGTTACTGTTGCTGTGACAAACGTAATTGAGCATCTGTATGATGATACAAAAGTACTTACGATTTGAACAGGTGTTGAAACTTGCCACATTTGTTGGTTTTTTTCATTGTTGACCAAGGAATATGGGTTTGTTTTTTGTTTGTTTCGTTTGTTTTGTTATTTTTTCCCCCTAAATGAACAGTGAGGTCATCTATGGAACCAGAACAGCACAAAAGAAGACCCGCCCTGGGAGTGAAAAGTCATCAGTACTTGTGAGGCTGTGCGCACTGGACTCCACTTAAATGGGATATGGAATGTCCACCCAAAAATCTATCAGTTTCATTTTTGCTTGTATTATTGCTGAAGTTAGATAAGAAACTGTTTTTTAATAATGTGTAAAAAAAAAAAAAGTTTCACTTTTTTATATAATTTATTAAATAAGAAAAAATGAACTGTGTTTAATTGTTTAACTTTAGCAACTTCATTTTTGCAACTAGTGCACCTGACTCCTTTTAATCTTATTCTTAGTTGCAGAATGTCTGACATTTCATTCAGTTGGTTGATAACTAGAGCCAGAAATTCAGCAAATTAGCTTATTTCTTGTTTTGACAGAATAGTAGGATTGTAAGTAACAGCTAGAAATCATACACTCTCAATTTGCAAGCACAAGTGACACAGTCACATCAAAAAAGTTTTTGAGATGGGACGTGGAGATGGCAGAGAGGGAATATAGAATAGTAGAAACCTGCCAATACTAACTTGTGTTGTATTAAACTGATTGAAGAACTACAGGTTTGCCTGTAAGACTGTGGAGGGGCTAAAAGTGGTTCTTAAGTAGGAGAGGCAAGAACAACAACAGAAACAACAACAACAAAAAAATCACGGGCTTTAAAGAAGGATTACAGGTCTTACTGAAACATCTGCAAGGTGTTTGCCATTAAGACACATAAAAATAGAAACTCAACAGTTGTAGAACTTCTGTAATTTGAAATAGGGACAGTATGGACATTATGTCTCAAAGTTATTCCCAAGACCCTTCAGTCATTTTCTGAAATGATAAGTTGATTCTTCTGGAACAGAGTAGAAATTAGATCTGAGGTTTTTGCAAAGAGAATGGTCACTTGCTAAATTTTAATGTTGGTGTCATTGGAAGAAATCACATGGGATGCAGCTGGTCTTAGATGAAGAACTATGGATAGAAAAAAATCTCCAGCTAAGCCTTGGCAATTACTATATAGGTAGTCTCAATAATGAATCCTAGTAGGATCCAGAGAAGATTAAAAGGAGAGTGATGTGAAATAACTGGGCTAGAGGAAAGGATTCGTTTCGTCTTTACATGTAATATGTGCCATTTCAGAACTACTGAACTTGGTCAAGTAGTTGTCCTTTCACAGTGCCCTGTTTACATTGGAGTTGCATGCTCCTGAGCAGAGTAGAAAAAACAGTGCTCAGTTTCTCTGTAAAGGATATTTATTTCTGATATCTCGTAGCACAAGCTTACTGTTAGATCTAAAGCATTAGGAGTTATAGCCCATGTTACTTAAAAATATTTCTGTTTTGAATATAGACTTTAATGATGCATGCTAAAGTGAGAGAAATTGAGAAAGTCTTGATTCTTTGTAGACACAAACTTGGAAGTTAACTACCTGAGAAAGATCTGATAAAATCTTTTGAATTTGACATCTTTCAGGTTCTGCATCTCCTTCGAGTATGGAAAGGAATGGTTAAAAGTTGGATTTTGTCTGTTCTGTGTGCTATTGCCTTTGTATTCTAGTCTCAGTTCCCTTATTTTTCATGTGTATATTTCCAGATCCTTAATTACGTTTGTTTTTCTCAGAATGTGTAAATTTTGCTGCATAATTTAGGAGAGGAGTTGATTTTAAGTAAGTGAACTCCAACTTTTGAGACTACACACTGGCATCTCTTGGTGCAGTTTCTACTGCTGGACTGCGGGTGGGGAGAAAGAAATGTTAGTTTATTGTATTTTAAGCTGCTTGTAGATACATGGAGTAGAAGATTCTATAGACCTGGCCCTAAAGATCTACAGGTTTTTAGTTCAGGGTGGCACAATTTAGAACCATGTAAAGTTGTAAATCCTTTGAATTTAGAAAACCTTTGCTTTTTATTTATCTTTTAATTATATTTTGTCGTGTTGCCTCCTCATCTATGTTCATTTAAACCTTCAGTCTTCTGTTGTTCTGTTTGCTGATTTGTTCACAAAAAAAGCATTCCCACTCTTGGGGAAAAATATAAAAAACCACTCACACTTTTTGGGAAACTTTTCCACCTCTGAAGCCCGATGGGTGCGTTCACAGGCAAGATGAGGCCTTGTGCTATTGTAGGTACTTCTGTGCCCTACCTCCATCTCATCTTTCTCCTTTAACTTCTCTGAGCAACTTGACTTTGAAGCCTTTGGCATTTACAGCTAGTAGCAACTGCATTCACCTGTTCATTGCTATACCAGCATCACAATTAAATAAATTGCCGTCTATTGGCCATCCTTTAGAGAAGAAAGGATTTTGATACAGGAGCCACAGCCTTGCATCCGTACTATCAAAATCCTTCCAAGAGCATCATAGTTCTGTTTGGAGAATAACTTCAACAATTAGATAAAAGATAGAAGCACAGATCTATGCATACTATGTTTTCTGTCTTGAAATTGTCTGTTTTAACAGCCAGCTGGTGATAAACATAAATTTAGTTCTTCAAATCTCCAAGTGAGTTTAGGGGACTTTTTTTTATGAGAAAGTTTGTTCTAGTGTTTCTTCTTGATTTTGATAATTCTAATAACATTGTACACAATCTATTTAAAATCCTGCCAAGGTATCTGCTGTGAAATGGGATGTGATCCTGAGATCCACGTTGGTGCTGTCATTACATGTAAAATGTGACAGCAGTGCCTTCTAACTTCATTGGTCTCTGTCCAAGTATCTGCGTGATACTTGTGTATGTGCAGTGTAGTTGCAGAGTTTAGTTCAGGGCAAACTAGAAATACTTCTTTATCTGCATAAGCATGTCTTGTGCAGCACCATGTAGATATACATACATACAAAAAAAATCCAGACACAAATGTTTGGTTTGTGTCTTGTTAGCCGTATTTTATTACTTTGTTGCTCTTTGGTCTCTGTTAGCTGTGCTTCAAATTCCATTTCAGTTCTTTCACTGCCAACAGTTTTTCTTTGTACAAATTGGGAAAGGCAGTGGAGGATTCATAGTGATTGAATTTACT